ATAATTTGCTAAAAATAAAATATAACATACATAAAATTGATATAATTTTGACAAAATGCTAAATTATAACCTATTATAAAAATTATTATTAATTTTGCTAAAGTGCAAGTATGATCTATATGTGAGATGTCCAGGGTCCTGCATATAGCAATTCTTGAATATGTGCCAGGTTGATAGCATATTACCTAGTTACAATAATCTCTTTTATTCCTGTTTCAATATAATCACATGACGGGAATTTATGTGTTATTAATCACAATTTTTATCACAAATATTTTTCTTTTTTTTTCTTATTTGTTATCACTTGGACTTCACCCCAGGGGAAATAACAAATAAAAAAAAAGAAAAATTTGCAATAAAAATTGTGATTAATAAAATATAAATTCCCGTCATGCGATCATAATGAGACGGGGAATAACTAATTTATTCCACTGGTTGGGAAAATATTTTATTATTTCCACCGGCATGGGGAATAAATAGTATTTATTTTAGTATATACTGTACAGTGCATTCGTAAATTTTCTTTTTCAATAAAAACTTCAACTATGTGTTTCATCAACTGTTTTGTACTTTGAATGTTTTCTATTTTTCTTTCATGAATTGAAGATATAACAGAAATAATATAATTTAAATTTTTGGTTCATTCATTATAAAAAGGTACATTATAAAGGAGTTGACTGTACTTAATATGTAAGTAAAGCATACTACAGTAATTTTAGAAATATGTAAGGTTAACAAAACTTATAAAATTTAGGTTTAAAAATGAATCATCTTTAACTTTTAGGAATTCTTTTTTTAAAATACGATTCAGTGTTGATGAGAGAAGTTTTTTTTTTTATTAAAGAATTTTTTTTATAAACTATATAGTATGTATTTATTTGAGATTTATTATCATACTTTTAAAGCCAAAACACGTATTATATTAAGAACTTTAATGTTCTGGCCTGTAAAAATTTTGAATTTTGCAATTTATAACTATTATAAAAGTAAAGAATACAAGTATTGATTTGAATTCAAAACAGTAAAATTAGAGCTAAAGATTATGAAAAAAAGAAGGAAAATGTGCTTTTTTGAAAATAACAAGAATATGATTCAAGAGAAATAATATTAAAAAATAGGTTTTTGTTCTATTAAATTTATAATTTTATTATTGTTATTATTAGAATTTTTTAATTGGTGCAAATTATTTGAACTGATTAATGCGCCACTAACTTGGCACATATTCAAGAATTGCTAGCATATATTATTATAAAGTATGTAAACAATATAATGTTTTATTGTTTAGCCTGATTTGTTTTTGTTATTATATTCATGATATGAATTTCAATCTAAATTAGACTTCTTTCGAACATGATACAGAACAAATACTATATAAAAGAACTACACAATGACAGCAAATTAATTTTTTTTTATAATTGTATTTTACCCTATTACCTTATATTATATTCTAAGTTAACCGGATAACCCAATAATTTATCTGTTTATCAATTTTATAATTCGGGTATCCGGATAACCTAACAGTTAACTAGTTATTGTACCCTAGGGTATGAGCACTACCCTGTAGTTTAATCTATCAAACAATAGCTCTATTGATATAAAAGGCAAAAAATCAATTAGTATTTGTACTACTGGTCATGAAAGATCTTCTTTTACCATTATGCTTGCTTGTACAGCTGATGGTACTAAGCTTCCAGCTGTTTGTATTTTTAAACTAAAAATATTCCTCGTGGAGATTTTCCACCTGATATTTATATCTGAGCTAATAAATCTGGTTGGGTAAATGAGGACAAAATGCTATAGTGGATAGAGACAGTTTGAACTTCAAATAACTATCATCGAAACAACCCTCGATCAATGTTAATATTGGATATATTTCGTGCACATCTTATGAATTCAGTAAAAAGTCGACCAGCAGAAAAAAATACAAATCTTGTTATAATTCCAGCAAGTTGTACTTCTAAATTACAACCTTTGAATGCCACAATTAATAAAAGTTTTAAATCTATGGTAATTTTTTATTTTTTTTTTTATTTTTTTTTTACTTTATTATTTTATAATATATCGACATTGGTAAGTTTAAGGAATATTACAATACATGGATGTCTTCTACGATTCATACTTTTACACCATTAGGTCATATTAAAAGACCTTCATACTCAACTGTAGCAACTTGGGTTAGAGATTCATGGAATAGGGTTGATGTTGATCTTATTAAAAGATCATTTAAATGTTGTGGAATCTTGATACAAACTGATAGTTCTGAGGATAATATGCTCTTTGATTATGATAGTTTGTTAGAGCAAAATAAGGATATGGATGTTGATAAAAATGAATATAGTGATGAATATTCTGAAAATAATAAATATAGAAATGAATGGAATATTACAAATGAAAGTAATAATAACAATACTGATGAAGAAACCAACAATATTGAGAATGCTGATGAAATAGATTTCAATTTCGATTGATATTTATTGGTTTTTTTTTTTTTATCGAAAACTTATTCAATTTTTTTTTTTTATTAATTTATATATTTTATTAGAAAGCAAAAGTAACATTTAATTGTAATTTACATTATTGTATTTAAATGGATAAAATATTTATTAATCGCTAAAAAAGATATGCTAATAAAGTTAAATAATGAATAGCGTAATTGTTAATTTTAAAGCAATGTATTTAAACTAAAGTTATTAAGAAAAAAAAATTTTTATTATAGATAATGCAATACGTATAAAATTGTACGTACGTACGTACCAAAATTAATTATAGCAATATATATACCCAGATATTTTACAAGTCTAAGAGTTTGAAATCTAAATACTTATAGCATTATACCCGGATATTTTACAGAAATTTATGAGGGATACAATACATGGGGAGTACTTTGGCGAACAGAATACGGTATGCATGTACAGTATGTATATCAAAATTATAACATTTACAGTCACATATATTATAATAGTTGTCATTCATTTATTATCTGAATGCTGCAAAACGAAACCTAAATTTCATTTTTTCGAAATAATTCCAGATTTCCTTTGCAGTACTTCTTTTAAAAATCGACATTCACCTTAACTATGAATTATTGAAATAGCAAGTAAGTTTGTAACAGACTTTTTCTATAGTAGCTTATATTTATTCTAATACAAAATAGAAATTTAAAACAAATGTAATTACTATATGTACATATTAAAGAGTAGTCATATACTGATCATTCTATACCTGTATACTACTGGAATAATGAGTAGGTTTTTACAATAATATTTACAGTAACTCATGAAAGAATTGCAATAATTCTGACATAAACTAACTAGATATTGAAATATTCCATTACAAGTGAGATGTCGAATAAGTTTGGAAAAAGATTTTTGCAGAAACTTGTGATAGAAATCCGAGTACAACTAACTCAATCGTATATATATTACCAGATGGTAACTAAATTATATAAATCAAATGTATCCTATTGGTATTTTTTATTTCTGGTTTTAATAAACGACATTGTACAACTATCTAGTATATTTTGAATTTTACTTGCATGTGTGATTATGCTGGTCCTGCACTGCATCACACGCTGCGCAACTATCTTATTAGTTGTGAATTATGCGTTATTGACTAGGTTCCTTTGGGAGAGAGGATTGGGTGCAAATTGTAGCCTGTCGCACCTGCAATTGTTGGCATAAGGCCCACTTGCATTTCCCATCGATTTGTCTTCATTCTCATTGCCGCCTTTATTAGGTTAGTAATTATTGTTTGTGAAAAGTCATACTTACCACCTTTGATTATCTGGACCGGACTTGTTCTGGTTGTTGGTTCCACAATATGCATCACCATGCTTAACTTCTTTTTGATCAATTGACTTTACCATTATGTTAACTTGAATGAGTACTTTTATCGTTAAATAATTATATAAAGATCACTATATCGCATAGCCACCTTAAAACTGGCTAGATTCTTAATTAGATTTAATGTAAAAAAAAGCAATAGAATCTGTGGCTGCAGTGGCAGTGCAAGAGCTTTATATAGTGCAGTAATAGTAATAGTGATAGTGTGATCACAATAGTAATACAAAGACCATATATAGTTAACCTGGCATGGTTGTAGTAGCATTACAGGTGTAGTTAGGCTGCATGTGCAATTCAAAGGTTATTTAAGATAAGTTTTCAACTGATTCTCTTTTAGCTATTTTGATATATAGCTTTTTGGAAATCTTTTAGATGTTATATATTTATTAGGAAGATGTATAGTTGCTTTTAGATAGTCAGTTGGGATTAGTATTGTCTATATAAAGTTAATATTTTAGAGAACCTGTAAATAGTAGCAAATGTATTCTCAATAATAAAAAATATATATATATATATGTATGTAATGTATATACATCCAATATTCTCAAAACCCGATTAAACATGTAGTTATATAATGCATGCGAAAGGACATCCAGATTTGCACTAAAATTACTAACCAAGCATACGAATAAAAATCTAATTTTAGGAGCAAATTCCAGTTATTATCTAAAATCATAATTCTAAATGAATTTATGATGTACTTCTTAAAGATACTACAAACCATATCAGAAATATATGTATGTACATAATATGTTATGTAACAAAAGTATATTTAATTAAAAAGCAGAAAGGACGATTACAATTGACATTTAGTATAATTAGATTCACAAATCGAATAAATAAATATCAATTAAAAAAATTTGACAGTATGTGCAGTAGTCACCAAAAGTAATGCCTGATTTATTATATAAAAATAAAATTTTTATTTATTTTATTTTTGCATTATAATATATTAAATTTTTTTTATATATTTAATATCTGTATGCATGGCCCTCTGCATCTGCCACTGCCTTGATTTTTTGTAGCACTGAGTCTACAAATACTCAAAACATCAACCTATCCACCCTCGCCTACTTCTCTTTCAAGGCTAGTCTGTATCTCTTGAAAAGTCTTCACAACTCTAGATATTGTCTTTTATAATCTTCCAGATATTTTCTATTAAATTTAGATTCAGAAATCAGGATGGCCACATCATATATGAGACTTCCTACAGCAAAAGGAGGAGCTGGGCCAAAAAAATTTTTTTAAAAAAATCTAATATCTCGAAGAATCAGATTGATTAGAATAAAATTATTATAATAACAAATTTTCAAATTTTTTGGCCCAGCCCCTCTTTTTGCTATGGGGGTCCCATATTTGATTTTTTTTTTTTATCAAGCCAATTTGTCACCTTATGAATAGGAGCATAATTCTGTTGAAAAATTAGATTCAACCTAGTTAACAAGAACACAGCCACAACAAACAGTATGAGGTGGTTGTCTAGAACCTTGGTGTAAATTTTTTTAGTAATTTTTTGCTTGAGACCTTTGTATTCATCAAAAAAAAAAAGTGACCTTTGATATTATCAGTGAAGCATGACTACACCATTACTAAAACTCTTTCATGCTTGAAACTCAGCACTAAACACTCATGTTTATATCTTTTATCTGCATAGCACTATACTTGAACTTGGCATGATTGTTTGCCCACTTCCACACTTATTTTATTAGAAAAAAATAATATTCTGCTACTCATAAATGCCTCAGTTCTATTTTTTTCACACCAGTCTATACATCCACTTATATTGTCTTCTGTTAAAAAAGGTTTTACAGCAACAACACGAGAATGAACTTCAAAGACGTAGAGGGCCCTGGCTGCTGTCAACACATTACATTGAAGGTTTAAATCCTTTACAATTTTGTGCAATGGCTTGTGTTTTTCTTTCAAGGCCTTTTTTAATATAGCCATCTTTTTTTGCTTCTTTAAGGTGGAAGACATCCAAATCTAGATAAATTTTCAGTTTTTTTGATCCTTTTGTACTTATTCAAGAACCTCCTAACTATTGTGGGGTTACAGTCAATTTGTTTGGCAACCTTCTCAACACTCATCAAACTAATAAAAGCAAGAATCATTCTTTTCTCTTTTTCTGTTATTTGGGTTTGTAGCATTATCAAAAGAATGTTGGTTTTTTTAGCTAGTTATTTAGACGTCAAAAGAAGCAAAAAAAAAAATTTGCCCAAATAACATAAGTATAAGATAAACAAAGCTACTTTATTTGCTCATATGAGATGATCTGCAAATCAGGCATTACTTTTGGTGACTACTGTACAATATGCAGTATGCGATATGCAATTAATTAAATAAATTATTAAAATAAATATTTATTATCATTATACATATTAAATAAATGAAATTTAGTATCAATTAATGCTATTTAAATATACAATTTCTTTTATGGTAAAATTTTGCTTGATTCTATATATTAAATCTTCAAAAAAAAAATACACAAATATAAAATAAAATATGCACAAATGAATTAGCAAGCTAAAAATAAAAATTCGAGTAAATTTTATTAAGGAAAATTTTATTATTCTATAAAAGACATATTACAACTTTGGCTGACCACTTATATATCCTATCTGACAACTTTATGTTAATAAAAATTTACTTAATAAGTTGTAATAATGCACAAGATACGTATGTACAGATTAAAATTATTCTTAACTATTTTAGGCATTATTACTAATATATACAGTATAACTATTTTCTAAACTTATGATTTGTATTCAATATCTTTATTCTTAGCCTGAGTTAAATTCGACTCTACTAATTTTTATTGAATTTGGTTAGGTATGTGTCAAGAAAGCTTTATTCAAAGTTTAGAAAGAATCTATTTTGTATATTAGTAAATTAAATGCTTTTGAATTTTTTTAAAACTTTGAGTAAAGTTTTTTTTGATAACCACCTGATCAAATTCAATAAAAGTTTTTCATTTTAATTTTACTAATATGTAGAATTAAAATAAAAAAAAATTTATTAAATTTGATTAGGTAGTTATCAAAAAAACTTTACTCAAAGTTTTAAAAAAATTCAAAAGCACTTAATTTACTAATATACGAGATAGATTCTTTCTAAACTTTGAGTAAAAGTTTCTTGATAACCACCTAATTAAATTCAATAAAAATTTTTTTATTTTAATTCTACTAATATAAAGAATTAAAATAAAAAAATTTCCATCAAATTTGATTAACTGGTTATTAAAAAAAGTTTCGCTCAAAGTTTTAAAAAATTCAGAAGCACTTAATTTGCTAACATGTAATAGATTTTTTCTAAACTTTGAGAGAAAGTTTTTCGATAACTACCTAACCAAATTCAATAAAATTTATTTTATTTCAATTTTACTAATATATAAAATCAGAATAAAAAAAATTTCATCAAATTTCATCAGATTGTTATCAAGAAACTTTCATTCAAAGTTTTAAAAATTCAAATATACAAAAAATTGATATATAACTTGTGATGAATTTTGATTGGTTGAACATGCTTAGATTATCAGGCAGCACAAATCTTCATCTAACATCTTGCTGGGTAAATAGATATATGCTATATCAACCCTTTGAGGTTATGTTTAATACCCAAAATTCTATCATGTTTCTAACATGGAAATTTAATAACAATTCAAATAAAAAAGAACAATTACAAAATGATATACTAACTTGGATTAAAGAAGAGAACAGAGATTGGACAGAACAGACACTACTAAAACAATTGGAAAGCTGTTTATACAAGACTTAACTAATACACTATAGTATATAGATGAATGTAATAGTGATACCTTTACCTAGTGATATAAATTGCCTAAAGCTTTCAATAGCCAAGATTTAATACTAAAGAACTTTATAAATATAGTGACTGTCTTTTTAAATATGTTATCTGCTCATAGATAACAAAGTTATTATTTTCAAGATTCTTTAAAGATTCTGTAACAAAATTTGGCAAAAATCTTTCTAATATCTTAACAATAAATATGCAAAACATTTCAAAATCGGGAATTTAATCAATCCATAGTTAATGAATATGACAATAGTTAACTAAAGATATTAGTAGCAAATGTTAAATGTATATTAGAGAATACTATAAAAATCTTTCATTGGCTTTACATGAAAAATTATACTGGTAGCCAATTTTAGTTAATAACTTTTGCTTTTTAATGTCGCCTATGTATGTATTATATACTATAAAAAAAAGAAATAAATAATAAAATTGTTAAAACCATTTCATATTATATTATGTAGGCAAAAGTATTGATATTTAGCCAATTTAAGCACTGGGTTTATATTCAAGATTGGAATATATACTTATTATAATAGTAATATTTGCAATATAACTTATATCTAGCATATAAATAAAAATACAACAAAAAAAGAAGTTTTCAATCAACACTATAAAATTCAAACAGAAATCAAAAAAGATTTGTCTACTTATTATATATGTCATATGTATAGAGAATATTGGACATTTGCGAACTTTATCTAAACAAGCAGCCAAAGGCTAAATTACGGTATATCTATAAAGAATTAACAAATGACATATTAGCAGCAAAATCAATGAATCAGAGTGAAATAGATAAACGTATTAAACTAGCCTTTGAGCTAAATAATCCTAAAGTAATAAGTAATCTGAGAAAATTTAATGAAGGTTGATCAAGCAAATATGATAAATTTTGAGTTGCAGACAAGAAGTTCTTGGAAGATATTATACAAGAAACCATGGTTGCTATTGATAAAAAGAGGCACAATTCAATTATGCACTTTGTACAAGCTATCTCAGTTCACAATCTTTGTGATATGATAATACAAGAAGTAAAAAAAATTAATTTACAAGCACTACTCCTATTAACTTAATAGCTACATTTACAATTTTGGCCAACCACACTGACAAATAAAAATAGTTTACAATATACAGGTATTTTACCTGTTAAGTTTATAGTTCAAGTTCATTAGCTTCAGGGTGAGTAGGTATGCATCTGCACTATTTTATTATTTAAAAGAAAATGCAATAATGTTTTGAGATGAGGCCTAGCTTGTTTTTATGGATGATAAACATCACTGTAAAGTCGGTAAATCTGGATATTCAGTTGCAGCCGTAAAATGTAGAAGACAAGTGCTTGTTAATTGCAATACAATATTTGTTATAAGCAACTATGATTTTACAAAATATGTAATTATTTTAAGCATTACAATGTTGTGCAACATATCTAAATCAATTGATGAATCATTTTATACCAAGAAAGTTTATGTAGGACTAAAAGAGTGTATATTTGAGTCATCAAGCCCAATGCAATACATCACAGAATTATATAATATTTTGAAAAGTACTGATGATGACAAGCCTTATCTTTTTATATACACTAATAGTAGACCAGACCACCAAGTAAACTTTCTTTATATACAATTTGCATTAATTGCAATTTTCTTGGCCCTAAATTTTGATTTTTTGGTTGCTATTCGTATATCTCTGGGACATGCATGGAAAATCTAATCGAATGTGTTATATCTATTTTAAAGGTAGAGTGTATGTAGATCATTTATCATATGATTTCTGTGTCACAATGTGATTTTTGTAAAAAATAAAAATATGCTACTAATAAAACTTTTTACTATTTTAATTAATTTTTGTAAAATTTTTACAATATATATATTAAAATATATTCTTTATCATAGTAAAATTTTTAATAAGTTAAATATTTATTTATTTATTTTTTTATTTTTTTTTTTTTAAAGTGATCTTTTTGGTCAGCAATTTTATTATAGTTTAAGTTGAAATTAGTATTTACAGCATATCTATTAACCATATCTATTTTTAAACTATATATATTACAACTAGCCTTAGGACTTACTAATCCCCGCTAGGGGTCAGTTTATCCCTGAGATAAATCTAACAGAGTAGTCCATGTCTCACACATGTTTTTATCTGCATGTTCAGTAATTTCTTCCTAACTAGTACCTGCTGTGCTGCCGGTATCGGGTTCGTATCTCAAGCCAACTTTTGGGGTGCTGCCATAACCTGATCTGTATCTTAAGCCACAACCTTCCTAATTAGTTGTCTATTACGTACTCCTGCCCCTATATGGTTCACAACAACCCCGGTACCCACATTTCAACCATCTTCTTATCTGGATTCTCTATCGGTCTATCTCTTACTTCCAACTAACAACTCGGAAGGTTCGATTTAAGCCTGGCTCTAGGTGCCTTTAGCCTGTCTCATCTTGGTACACACTTCCATAGCATGTGTTCTTTTTCTCCAACTCACAGTACCTAGTTCTTCGGAGTACCTAGCCATGTTTTTGTTGGTGCCGCTAGGCCCGGTACTTCCAATTCTACAGTCTACCAGGGTAGAGCCCCTACTACCAACTCCCCTTATGTCAGTGACCTGGTTGGTGTAACTGGTATACCCGCCACAAGTTCCAAGTTCCCCAAATTGGCAGTTTGGTTGGTATGTCCTCCACTTAAGGACCTGATTGCTCGGTTCTCCGATCTCAGGCCCCGGTTCGAATTTAGCCTTCTTGTAGTATTGTCAAAGATCATTGTTACCTCCAAATTCAGGACTTTCCAAATGGGTTTTCGGTTATGCCGGTTCCTCAGATTTATTGTGCCAAAGTTTCTATTTTTAAATGGTGTGACCGAAGTTACAGATTATAGTTCTAGATCCAACTGATAGCATATCCAATCACCGAATACAGGCCTATTTTTAATATCATTGCTAGTGGGATTTGAACTCTAGACCTGCCACTTGGAGAGAGTAATGACTAGACTACTACAATAAGTTGCCACATCTCTAAGTTAAATATTTAAAAAAAATAGACTTGTATATATTGTAAAGTTTTTTAGGTTGACCCAAATTTTCTTAGATTACACAAAATCATTAATTTTGATTGGTTTATATCATATGATCATCATATGATTTTTGCAATACTTAATCTTTAAATTAAAATATTTCGCTAAATATCTAACCAATCTTAATGATTTTACTATCAAAATGCCAAACAATATGCACTTGAAACAAATAATTTAATTTATTTGATGATTAAACTAGAGGGTGCAAAGCAGGTATAAAATATATCGTATTTTATATGCTAATTAATTTATTTCAGGAGTTATAAATAAGTTGATTCATCTTTTACTAATTTTTGCGACAAATAATTAATACAATATAACAAAAAAAAGTATGCCTTTCAATTTATTGTGATTTGTATAATTTTGTACCCTTATAATTAATTTTTTTATGATTAAATGATTATAATTGCAATCACGATTACTAAAGCCAGCCAATTTATCATGAATCTGAGTTAGTATTAAGCTCAAATTTATAATAAATTGGCCGGCTTTAGCAATCACGATTGTAATTACAATCATTTAATTATAAAAAAATCAATTATAGCGTCACAAAATTATACAAACTGCAATAATTTTTTTAAATATTTGGTTGATTAAAATTTTGGATCACAATTTTTTTTATTACATTATACTATTTATCTTAAAATGCTAGGCAAATTTAAATACTAATTTCACTAATAAATATATTAGTTTGCGGGTATATTTATAACTTATTAAAATATTCAAATATTTTGCAATTATTTGATTCTAAAATATTAATATGTATGAAACAAGCGATTTATTTGATTTATTTAATAATTGAATTGGAATATTAATTATTAATTTAAACATAACTAAAAAGCTTGAAATTTATGATTTTATATTACTTTGCTATTATAATTTAATAATCAAGTTAATTTGAATTAAAAAATAAACTTTTATATTCGAAGTTGATTAATTCTAACTATTAATAAATTCAATTATTATATAATTATCATTAAAATATCTTTATATTTGCTCAAATTTATACTGAGTGTTATATAGCATACTTATACTTCAGCATGACTATATTACTTCATTTATCACCCAAATTCAATAGTGATTTATTACTTGTTACAAATCATAATAATAATTAAAAAAGCTTTAAACCCCACTAAAAAAAAAAGCTTTTCTCTAATTAAAAAAAGGTGAGGTTTCATTTTAAATATGCATGTTTAATAAAATATAATAAACTTCAAATTAAAACCCGATACTGTAATTAATATATGTAATACAAAGGTGTAGATCATCAAATCAGAAATGAATCAGAAATCATGTGATAGTAAAACTGATTCTGCATCCTGGTGTAGTCTTAATCTCTACAGTTATTATGCTATGACCAAATTAAATCTAGCAGAACCTATTTATCTATACCACCTCTTCAACTACAATCTAATTGCCAATGAATTTAAGCAGATAGTCCTCTTTCACAAATAGTTACTTGAAGCGATACAACAAGAGTTACTAAGAAGAAGAATTTATAAGAAATTAGATATAAATATAGAGACTAGATAGAGAATCAATCTGGAGCTACACGAGATAATTAACTTTATTAATAAGATAAAATTGGAAGAACAGGAGAAAGAAGTACAAGTGTATATAGTTAATGCTATTTACCAACCAAGTATATCACTCATTTCTAAAATAGCTACACCCCAAAATAGTAGCAATGATAAAGAATCATCATTCCATAGTGATATAGACCAGCCAAGTGGTGATAAGTCCAACTTTATCCCATAATAGTCTTTGAACTAATATATTCAAGATGCTACAGAAAATTATTATTTGTTAAATCATATATAGATAGTGAACATGAATACTTTTTATATACATACTTAACTTTGGATACACATTATGCTACTAGACAGCTCGACCTTTGGCAAGCTATATATTACCTAGAGTTTATTATGTTTTTTTTTATTGCTAATAATCCCATTAACTTAATAACTCTACAACAATAAGTTGCAGAGAGTGCTAGAGAATTAGAGTTAAATATATATAAAATTCAACATAGTGGCCTTAATACCAAAATAATTGAAAATTTAATTGCTAGTACTATAGATTAGTATACAAAAGAAGGGTATAATAGTATAGATAATAATGAACAATAAATAATAGTTAGATGATATATTAAAAAAACAAAAAACAAAAAACAATATATAATAATAATAAAAATTAAAAAGGATATGGTAAAATCAATGGTATTAAAGTAATAATGAGAAGAAAAAATAAGAACAATAGAGAATATATATATATATATATATAAATAAAATAAAAAAGATATTAAAAATAGATAGTGCTATGGATACGACAAACTAAAAGCTGATTACAACACTAATGTACAAGAAAAAGGCATATTGAATTTGAAAAAAGTTAATAAGAATTAGAATAGAAAAGAGAAGCTATGAATTAATAAAACATAACCAAGTTGATAAAGGCATCTAATAGGAAGAAATCTAGTAAATACATTAAATAAGGAGGAAAATTAAAGAATTGATAGAAATTAGAATTAGTATGATTAGAAAACAAATCTTTAGAGAAAGTAGAATTATACTTAAAAAGAATTCAAAAATCTGGAAAAACAATCTGGCCTAGATTCTGATGTTCTAGCAATAAAGTTAAAATGGATAGCAAAAAGTATGAATAGCTAAAATAATATATAGAAACTAAAAGCCTACCTCAAGACCTTGATTCAGGAAAACAAGCAAAAATCATCCCCAAAAGTCAATTCTATGAATATAAGAATAGATCATTATATAAGAAAGATATTAAAAGATAGTTTTAAGGAAGGTTATTAAAAGTTATTAAAGAAGATGAAGTAGAGTCAATACTCTATCTAATGCACTATTACAGGACAGATCCAGGATGTAGGTGAGATTTTCCGGGTCATGTAATTAATCGATCTCCGATCTTATCTCGGAATCACGTAACCATGTTGGCTCTTTTCTGTTACACGAATTAACATAACAAAAATAAATATA